TGCAGCACGACACTTTTAACCGTCTCAGCCATCGAGATGTACAGTTATTTCGCTGCTAGTGCTTTGAAATTTTCCCGATGCGGGTAACCCTGCCAAGTTGCCACAGAAGAACGTATGTTGGCAGGCAGATCATCTCGGAAGCACCAGCGTCTCCAAAGTATAAGAGTCACACGCCTTCCCGTGTCAACTAATTCAGTCCTCACTATCCAGCAACAACATTCTCCGAAATCACTCCAAGAACATCTTCAACAATTCCAAAAACAAAGCAAGTCTCTACGAAATCTCACACTACTCAGATCCAACCCTCAAAATGCGTTTCTCCGCCGCCATCTGCCTTTTCCTGGCCTCGTCGGCCTTGGTATGAAATGTTCATAGATCTTAACGGCGGCTCCAATTCTAACGAATGCACTTAGGCCCAGTCGTCCAAACACTCGACGACGCACTCTGCAGCCAGTAAAACCGCTTCGGCCGCCGCCACTACTAGCCACAAGACTACCAGTAGCCGTGCTGCTGGACCGAAGGAAACTGCTGCAATTGCTTTGGGAGCCCTCCTCGGGGGCGTGGGCGTTGTCGCAAACATGTAAAGAAGGGAAGATGGTTTGCGCTTGCGCTCACTGCCTTGGTGTCTACAGCCTTTTGTACATAGCCACGCTTGCACAAAAAGCTTTGATTTCTTTTGTTACTTCTTCTAGTGATACTTTTGCTTTCTCCTTAGCAGCAATCTAGTTTGACTTAGAACATACCACAATCACAAAGTTGATCCCTGAATGGTCATAAAACGCTCCTTCGCAAGGGTTCTTAACAAATCATTCAGAATGACGGCTCAGTCCGGATCATTGGTAGTCTTCTTCATTCTTCAGCTCGAAGAACAGCCAGTCCTGCGTGAGTGTATTTCTCCACTACTGATTCTATACCGGGACAAGCATTTCTTTTGGAGCTTCCTATCTGGCTTGACTTGATTTCAGGAAGACGATGTTGAACACGGCGGCCATTTACTGCTACCCACTGAGGGCCGCGAGCCGGCGCTAGCTCGGAACCCGACTGTGGAACCCGGCCGCGGAACCCGACCACACGGCGACCAGCGTCCTCCCTTTCTGTGGCCTAGAACCAATGTGGCGCAGTCAATGCGACCTTCGTATTCTTCCTTGACCAGCTATCGCGCCATCTCGCACGCCATACCCTCCGGTTTGACGCTCTTTAACCGATAGGTTGTTCATCTTCAATGCATCCCGTGGCCATTGTGACACGATGAAGACACTGACCAACTGCCGTTCTGGACATTGCTTATCCAAAGTTGACGTAAGTTGATGTTATCTATTTGATTTTGGAATTAATGTCCGAAGCCGGGCGCAGGTGGCGAGTCCACTCGGCAGACCGTATCAAGCTTGCCCTTTGACGGCTTCAGAAAGCTTCTTGCACGTATTTGTGTTGAAACCTTCAACCTTTTTGGTTCATATGTCTGTTAACATATACCTTGTTTTAGTGAACAGAAATGACATAAGTGTCTAGACCCAATGACCCCTACAACGGTGTTATCTCCCATCGATCCTCCAGCACACAATTACTTATTCCCAGCCCTTTTGCTTTAATCGTCTATCGAGTATTCACCTGCGCGTTCAGCTTCCAGTCTCTTCGGTACCTTATATTGAATACAAACTTAAGCACACACGTAGCCATTCGCATCAATTTCCATGGTCTGTGCTGCTCTCGCTGTCATTCTCACTACCCTGGCAGTAGCTGCCATCATCTCACCAATCCATGTATTTGCCTATGGCAATGAAATCGACGGTACTAATGTAGATGTTCTCCGCTCATGGCAAAGGAATGCTTCTAATATTCCACTTGTCTTAACATTCAGGTGTTGACCAGACTCGTGAATAAGACAAGACCTTTCAGCAAGCACGCCGCTGCAAATGGTCCCCAGCACCCCCTGTAGTTGGTAAGGCTGTCCATATGCTCATTATTGACGTTGCTTCGATCAGACCAACAACCGACTCCGTTACGCTAATTTCTGGAGGTGTATGGGTCCCAAACCACTCCCGTGGGCAAGACTCCCAGCTCATCGAGCCTCACTCTCTCCAATCCAGCATCCACAACAGCCTCGACCTCTAATGATGTTTCTCTTATCAACACCCCCCACTACCAACACCTCCAGCCCTAACATGAGAGGTTTCATATTCTACAGTTCTTGGATGTCCGCCACTATCTAGTGTAATAAGTGCTCAACACATTCCAATTTGCCCCAACATGTACAGGCTCGTAAGTTCAGAATCAAGGTGAGAAAGAGCCGTTACTCTACTCTTTTAGGAAAGGTATGGGTAGTATGGCTTTGGCAGGATCGTAAGGACCTTTTGCTGTGAGCCATGGCCTGATAACGAAGCCACATCTGTCGTTGGTTGCGTGATTGCATCACCTTCTCCTAATGGTATTTAGGATTCGAGATGCCTACGAAAGATGATGCTGCATTCATCCATTGCGGCTATTCGCAACTGGCGTAGGTGGGGTAAAAGTATTGGCAAGAGCCTCATCGATTTCTGGTCTTTGCCCTGCGGAGATGCGGTCCCCGCATGTGGCGGCTGAGAACCCTTCCAAAGGTATGCTGCGTGACCCTTTCACAACTACTAACCCTTGGCTTCTGGAACAAGAAGGTAGCACGGCACAACTATTCGAAGGGCCATGCGGCTTACTCACATTCTATCTCTCACTGCACAAGGTAGCGTTTGATGCAGTCTACCTTTTGCGGCTCTTTCTCAAGTACCGTGTAAGTATTCCTTTCATAATCTTGATTTTGGCCCGAGAGCTCCAACGTAAGCCTAAAGGCACGCCATGACGCAGTCAAGTGCCAGCTTGAAGTTAGTCGCATGATGTACAATCTCTAGCCAATGTTTTGGCAGTGAGTTGTCTAGAAAGAACTACGAGGTCACAGAGATTGAGGCCGAATCTTCGCAGCATTGTATGAACCTCGGATATTACTTCAAGAGAGCCTACACGATACATTCCACAGCAATTCTGGATGAACTATCGTGGCTCTGCGGGATCTAATACACAAGCCACACACGACCCCTTTGTGATGGCTCAGAGACACATTTACCTCAATGCCGGTCCTTTTGTTATTTTGCTGCCTACCCGTGTCTCAAGAATCCTAAGGTAAGCCACTGTCGCGTTGCTCGACAGGAGTCCAGAACTGCATTTTGGCGTCTAGCGCTGCCAACGACAGCGCGTTGGCACCACCGCGGCGGCTCATTTGACGCAAACGTTCTTTTGACGGCATGCATATGCCCGCCCGAAGCGTGCCGACCTCCCTTGCTGGGAGAGACATGCAGGGGACTTTTATCTTCAACTATTCCGTCAAGCCACAGCCAACATAATAACGAACCCACCACCCCTCCTCCCACCCCTCCTTCAATGGAATGATTCAGTAAGCGAGGCCTTCACTGACCGAGAATAATATCAACCGCGGCATTGTTTCAGGTTCGGGGGATCATTGCTTCTCGGAAACTGAACTGCTGTGGTTGTTGTGGCAAATGCATATCGACGTTGACCGGTCAGCTTACTAGGTGAGGCTTCTCTCGTTGTCTCGTTGGACATGACCCCGAAAGTCCGCCTTGCAGCAGCCCAGCCCTCCTCCGTCGGCGTAGGGAGGAATTGTGGGGAACGATCTTTCTAGGTGCTTGTAAAACACTCATTATTCGTTTTGGGCAGATCTACGTGCTCGTCCTGGGCTTCGTAGCAGTTTTAGGGCGCCCGGGTAGTCCCCAATTAGAGTTCACAGGCAGAGGCAAGGAAGTCTAGGACTAAGCCTACTGATCTTCGCATGTGCCTGGCCTCTGATCCACAGATTCGGCCCCCAGGACCCAACGGTCTGGGGATTGGTGCTGGAACAATGAGTAAGACGCTTCATTCAGCCTCCTTGTCAAGGTGCGAGCTGCTGACGGGGCGGACGAATGAGAGCGCTGGATCGTGTCTTGGCCACCACATGAACCTACAATTTCCTATTTCGGTAGTTGGTCTTTTCCCCAAACCTCGGTTGCGAACTTACGCCAGTATAAACGTACCATTACCCTTTTTGGAAGTCGAGGCTCAACTAACCAAGCAGATGGGTCGCATCGTATTATCTCTTCTCTCAAGGTGATTCCAGAAGCCCGGTTAGAGGTCGAAAAGACGCGTGTCAGCCTCACAAATACGGGGGAAGCCGATTTACACTCTCTTTTACAGGTTCCAGAGAATCCAATTCAGTTGGTCATTTCGCCATCCAAGACTATGATTGGACAATTGGTTCGACGAGGGAAGTCCGCCCAGGCTAAACTAACATCAAATTCATAGTGATTCACTGGTGCCTAAGATGCGCCGATGAGCATGCTCTCATCTTGTTGAAACCACCACGGGACGTTGGCTAACATCCCACGCTTCCCACGAGCCACATCAGGCGGTGCCAATACCGTTACCCCCTGCTGCCATGCCACCCTTACGGCCGCACTTAACATATCGACACACCATAGTCACATCTACAGTGTGCCGGTGACACTATCGTACTGGTGAGCCTGCGGCTTCTCATTGGCCTCAAGACAAGGAGAAAGGACCGATATATCGGGAAAGGCGCCCTTGGTTTCATGCGAGGTCTGGTAGGGCTGAGGGAGTCCTTGCCGATGCCACCTTATTCCCAAAAAGCGCATGTACATGTTGTTGATTGGGAGCCAAGGATACCCCCTGGTGTAGCCGCGCGTGCTGCATCGACCTATCAACCTCCTGACAACCTTCCCTGTCTGGAATTCGTTCTCCTAGGACATCGTGTATTAACAACACTTTGAACGGTGACATCGGAGAAGACCCACGCCAGCCTGCCGTTCTCACGATATATAAGTCTGCGACTAAAGCCCTCAGGTTGATTTGGTTCATCAGCTATATCATCTCTCAGTCTATCAACACATCAATCCTTTCAACACCACCATCCGCATCACTTACTTCCACATTTTTATCAATAACACCATCACATCAATACAATGCCTGCTCCTCTCGTTCCCGCCGGTGCTGTCGCTGCTCTCTCCGACCCCTCGAAGGTCTGCCACTGCGATGCAGCAACTTTGGCTGCACAGTCGCCATCGAGCCCGAACTGCACGAAGTGTCTGCTGCCGAAGCCTGCTGCTAAGTAGGTTCGATTGACTGTTGCGATACAGTAGTGGTAAGTTACTTAAAGAGATAACAATGAAGTCCAAGGATATGAACTTTCAGTAGCATTTCACTGACTCCAAATCTTAGATCCCCCAGTATCCGATTCGAATAGACAGACTGCATTCGACAAAAGCATGCGCTGCTGGGATGGCAATGCCAGGATCATAATACGCATACGATTCAACTTTCTTATCTTGGGTGGGACCTTCGACTTCCAGGTTGGGCGGTTCGTTTGACACAGGATTGGAGTCAAGGGAAATCTACAAATATACACGGGGAGGAATCTCGAGTTTAGAATGGTGTTGTCGGTTTTGTCATTTCTGTGGGATCTATGGTTCCCGTCCACTCTTTTCACTATCCATGGATCAGTTTTGTAGATGCGCACAATATGAAACCTGAATTTCGCGTGCAGCTGATGTCCTATTGATGGTACATTTTTAATCTTTGGCTTCATCAAATCCGTGGCTAATCGCTTGGTTTACGGCGATATAAAACAACAAGATATTCATGGAGCATGTCAATCGAAAAAGGATTATAGTGATAGCGGGCAAACGACTAATAGGGTTGAAGTCAGTGCGAGTTAGGTGAGCACAAATCCACTTCGTGTTTAAGCAAGGGTGCACCAGTTATAGACTTTTCTCATTCTGGGGGACAGAAAAAAGAAAGCAAGCATAATGGCCGAATGTACAACATCTTAAAGTGAAGGTGAGGAAAACAGAGGTGGGTTCAATGTGTCAAAAAAGCAAAAGAATGTCTCCTCGACGGGGAATTGAACCCCGGTCCCCGGCGAAATCGTGTGAATGACAAGCCGATATCCTCACCACTAGACTATCGAGGATTTGTTGATATCAGAATCGGCAATATGCGCTACTATGACCCCAACCCACACCTGACCCACCAAACCCTGAGCGCCCTTGTCATCGCCCTCTCCAACAGTTTACCGCTCAAAGCATGCATCCTTTCAAGTTTCCTAGTGCTCTGCTCGTTCAGGATTCTAAATCACTAAACATTAACGCAACACTATTAGATCTGATTGACCAAGTCTTGCCATCTCTCCAACTATTCAACCTTGATCGGCTTCACTACGACATATCTTGATTTACATCACGCTATCCCCAAACGACGACGGCTATGCTAGCGCCATTCCTTCCAGTGGCTGCGCCGCTGCGCGACAGCGCATGTCCAGGACGGCGGCCGCCCTCATCTGACATCATTCCCGCCCCGGGATTTGCAGTCATAGCCGCAATACATAATTCAGCTGCCTAGACAGAGGCACGCGACTGGGCAAAGATACTACAAAGTCACGGTCGCTTCTCGGTTCTTAAGCGCTGCAACTACCGCAAGCGACAAGAGATTTCTTGAGCTTAGCCACAGTCTGTCTCTGGGCATTGCACGCGCCAAGCTCGCTCACCTGAAGCAACAATCACAAATCACACCCGACGGACTTCCCGACTCGAAGCGCAGTCTTGAGAAGATCACACGGACTTCGACCATTCAATTTTCTAATGGAGGGAATCGTCAATCAGTGTCAAAAGCTGCAGTCAAAACTGACTCCAGCTGGCGAGACTGTTCGCCATTTCATCGCCGCGTATCCTGACGGTCAAGTCCAGCTTTCGCCATTATTGGAGGAGCTTCTGAGCTTGCCCAATGTGGTAGTGAAGCTCGAGCAGAATGCGTCAGGTTGTGAGGCGGACGGCGATCTTGTATCCAAGATTAGTCGGATTCCTAATCTCTGCGTCGAGAACATCACGCGAATCGAATCACTTCTGCGCATCTCATCTCGACTTTATCGCCATGAAATGGTGAGCTTATCAGAGCAGGCTGCTGTTTTGGGCTCACTACTCGCAACAGAACGCGGAGCTCTGAATCTAGCTGTAAATGGGCTCGATTTGTAAGTTGTCTTTGGGCACCTGTTACATAACGAATACTGATCGATGTAGGGTCAAAGGGTTACAACGAGCTGAAAGGAATGGTGAATCGCCTCCATATGCCACAAGCCCCATTCTCCAGGACATCTCATCGATACAAAATCTGCTGGGTCAAGAGACCTCGTCAGAGAGCATAACCAGATTGCTTCGAGAGCTCGAAACCCGTGACGGAGAGTCTGCTGGCTTCTATCAACTTCATACCACCACAATCACTGGCTTCCTCAATACGCTGAAATCATTTGTCGAGCAGCAATCGGGGGCCATGTCAACCCTCCAGGTTGCACGAAGGTCGATTGCAGGCAGCGCCATCTCTAACATGAGCCCACCTCCAGAGCTCGATTTGAGCTACCTCGCTCCCACCCTTTTGGATCCGGCTCCGTCAAATGTCACCTTCAGACACATTGGCAAAGTCTTGATGAATCTGGAGAAAGAGCCACTGGATATTAAGTTCATGCCAGGCAACCCGGCGACTTTTGCAACTGCAAGCTTCCATAGAGATGTCATCCTCTTCAACGCCACGACTGCCGACCGGCGCAAAGAGATAAAGGTCAAGGGTGTCCACATGATATTCTCCCCGATGGGCGACCTTATGGCTATCACTGTGGAACATATGGACGAACTCCCTCACAAGCAAAAGCCCATCCCTATCACACACGACTTCGTTCGGTTCAAGAAGCCGGCGCTCTATGTACTCGACACTCCTCGCGGAACGGGCATGACGAGCAGACGTTTCTTCTTGCAATGGCATGGCATTCGTGCTTTCTCGTTCAACCCAGAGGGCTCATTGTTAGCGATCAAGGGAGTTCGACATCGTATTGAACTCATCAGCAGCGCAAAGGGCCTGGGATATGGCGTGGTCAGAAGCCACACAGACGAGGTGACACACGCAGAATTCACAGCCGACGGCGAGAGACTCGTGACGATGTCCAAAGATGGTACGATGCGGGTGACGAATATTCGCACGCTTCATAGCGTTGCAAAACTGGAAATGGACAGCTGGAGGAACCCGCTTCAGCTGGCCGTTTCTCCCTCAGGAGTAGTGGCTTCAATATGGGGGCGGACGGTGACGATCTGGGACTATGAAACAGGGGCAATGAACAGCTACAACTTCGAGACGGCGCGTGGTAGTGAAGGTTGGCCCTTGGCTATCTCACCCGACCTTCGATGGGTTGCGAGTCGGACAGACGAGGGGGCCGATGTGACCGCCCTTTCTACGGGCAAGGTCGTCTACTCGGCAAGGCTTGAGACTGGGTTTGTGACCTCGGCGGCTTTCTCAAATGATAGTAAATACTTGGTATTCGGCAGATGCACGAATGGGCATCATGGGCGGGCTGACTCTGGCATTCTGAACATGTGGGAGATTGTGGTTTGAGTTGATCAGGACAAGGACCATTGTGTTATTGTGCTTGGATTGTATTTGATATACCAAATGATGTACATGAAACTGAACGTCTATTTGACTTGAATGCCCCGCTTGGTCATATAATTCTTCTAGCTTCTTCAAGTAAAGCTCGATCGCTCGGTCAACCTGGCACATTTTCAGCTTCTCCCACTGATGGAATGAGAATATCCTTACCTTTTATTATCAAGCTCATGATTCTTCCAGCTATCAACTGATAAAGATGAGTTTCACACACCAAGTTGTGGCCCATGTCGTGAACCCAGCAGTGAGCAAGGCACCTATCGTCTCGCGACTTCTGTTTTCGCTGTGTGCATAACGCACTCGGGAGGCTCTCTATGCGGCTTAATTCCCATTGGAGCACAATCTTTCTGTTCGAGATGATGATTCTGACCTATTGTAAGGTCGACGTGAGAGAAAATAGTCGTACATGGACATCTTTGGTTTTCGTAGGATTGGGAGTCTAGTGGATCATTTTGGAGCGCCAGAACAGCTGCCATGACAACTCTCAAAGTTGCCATATATGCGTTTGAAATTTCTTGATAGTACAGATCTTGAAAGAGCTTGAAGAAATAATGATATCTGAACCCTACTGCGCATTCGGCGGACATGCTCCAGTTGGATTACCAGCCGGTGTCACGGCGGTCCTTCGTATTTAACCACATTGCCTGAACACAGCCCAGTGTATATCCCTTCTGGGCTATTTCATAATCCTTTGTGATGATGCTCATAGTCTCACACGGATCTACCAAGTTCAAGCGACAGGATGTTGCCGAAAATTCACAAATCAGGCAGCCGTATTTTCAGGCCGAATACTCAGAGATGCGTGCATCCTCCAGTTCTGAAAGGCACACCGCGCCTTCGATAGAGACAAACAACACGTTGAAGATGTGGCCAATAATGAGGTGAGCCGGTTTTACGGGACTTGCATCAACGGGTCCGCCGGGACGTGAAGGGTAAAGATCAAAGTCCGACTGTGTCTCACTCATCTTGGTGGCTTAAATGCCAAGTGCCAAATGGGGGAAAGCGGTATATCTCCCGAAAACACTCCCGCTTCATCAACCTTATTCGCCGATTTGAACTATATCTACGGTTTCTCGGTTCTGCGGGGTCCTTTCTCTTCACCTGGTCATTGGTCGCTCGAAGGGCTCTGCCACACCGGACAGCAGACGTGGTGGTTTAGCGCCAACCAACAGTCCACCGTGAGACATCAGCAGCAGAAATCACTATGAATGCCTGATGCCTCATACGCACCAGGTTTACGGATCGACAGAGGTGGCATGCACATGGCCTTGTCGCGGAGTTTGAGCCGTACGTCCAATCATCCTGCTCTCATAAGCATGCGGCGTCGACTCATCATGAGATGCCGAGGGCCGGCTGAGCCATATCTCAAACGGGCCGAGGATGATGCACACTACTGGACCTGTTAGATAGATCATGCATGGTGGTAGGCTGACGTTGATAGAAGGAAGCACTTGAGAAGACTGTCACGTGTGAAGAGCTAAAGATGCCGGCGGAGATGTCTCCAGATCTGGTCGGACCCGTCGGTTTCTACAGAAAATCATCATGATTCACGCTGATTTGACTGAGCGCCATTTTCGTGGCGCGATGTGAAGTTCTTTTGCCAAAAGCCTAATTGTTGGACTCTCGGCTCATTTGCGCATCCATCATAGGCATTTTCAGTGTGAGGGAAATCGGGAAGGACGTTTGATCAATAGATATTTTCTCATGTTTGATGGGCAGCCTCGTCTAGCAACGATCTTGCGAGTGTACGTTTTTTCGATGTGTCTTTCATTCACTCGGAAGCGCATGCGGCTCATGGCGGGGACGGGCTGTTGGTA